ACTGAGTTGTAATTCATGATGATGCTAAGCAACAGCACTTAAAATGTTAAAGCATGTTGCTGACCTTCAAGACTGAACTGGGAACTGAAAGAGTGCAGGGAGCTGGGGAGTAGAAAAAAACAAAGCATTGCATGAGGGTTGTTTTAAAGGAGCTTGACCAAAAAATCTGGTCCTTGGAATGCAATGAATTGATGAGACTCATGTAATAAAGCTATTGCATGAAAATATATGTAAATAATACAGTTTTATGAACATTATATAAAAAAAAGAATTTTACAAGATGTTTGCAGTTTTTGAGATGCTGAGAAACAGTTATATGAGCTCAGTGCTAGAGGAACACATTTTTAGGGCACAGCTCTTATTTTACTACCTAAGCTATAAACCTCCACTATTACAAAAATAGTATGTAAGCTATTTAATTTGTATTCAGTTCCTGGGATGATTAGATCTAACCTCTAGCCTTGTATTTCTTTTTTTGGTTATCGAAACCAGTCAGCTCTTATCCTGTGATCAGTTTAGCAGAGAAGGGAAACATTTGTTTCTCCTACAATATCTCATTTGTGCCCATTACTGTTGAGCACTTTTCCTTTGACACTGCCTTTTGACCTTAAGCCAAATTCCAGCTCTTCGAGGAGTTAGTCAACAAAACCCCCTTGGGAAACAATCACTGAGGACAAGGAAGCAGAGCAGAACTGGAAGATATTTAAAGAAGCTTTCCTTAATACACAGAAGTTGTCCATCCCCAGATGTAGGAAGGCAGGAGACCAGCATGGCTGAAATGGGACCTGCTGGTCAAACTGGGGAGCAAAAGGAAAATACACAGGCAGCAGAAGCAGGAGCAGGTATCCTGGGAGGAGTACATGGATGTTGCTGGGCTGTATAGGTATGAGATCGGAAACACCAAGATCCAACAGGTTGTGCAGAGAGAAGGTGGATGCCCTGTCCCTGGAGACAGGCAAAGTCAGGCTGATCAGCTCTCCGAGCACCCTGATCTAGCTGCAGAAGTCTCTTTCATTGCAAGGGAGTAGAAGGCCTTTAAAAGTCCCTTCCAATTCAAACGATTCCATAACTCTAAAAACTTAATTACAAAATATTTGTCAAAAAAGTCTCCAGAATCTATCAGACAGGTGATTTTCACCCTCACCATTTACATAATGTTAGTCTAAAAATCAGAAGCAGTCTTTAATCTATGTTTGTAAAAACACTTAGCCTAGAGTTTGGGACCATTCTTGGGATCTTGAGTACAGTATCATGCCATAAACTTTATTTTAAAAATCTATCTTTGTACATGGACACAGATAATTAAAGTATTTGCCACTACTTTTGCTACACTGTATCCAAACTTCTGTTTTGATTCTTTAGATCACACTTCCTTAATTTCTTTTATATAATTTAGGTACTAAAGGTGCAAGAGGATTCCCAGGTGATCCAGGCCCAGTGGGATTCCCAGGGCTAAATGGTACACGAGGTGATCCAGGTCGGGAAGGATACCCAGGTCCTCCAGGTACCTTGAAATAATGAATCATTCTTTCTATATTTATGACCTTGGCTACAGTCACTGAAGCACAATCACCTTACTCCAGATCCGTCTTCATTTATCTCACCTTCCATCTTCAAACAATAAGCTGTTATAAATAAAGCTCTCTTTTTTGAAGCCAAAAGTATTTTCTGCAACTTCCTGTAATGACAAAAAGTAACACAGACTCCAGCCTTTTAAAATCTGCTTTACAGTGCAAAATTACAAATGCCAACAGTTTGTGAAGATGATTTAGAAATAAGGAAATTCAGTAATAAGGTGTTTTGGATTCCAAGTGGAATGATAACTGCAGAAAGAAAGAAGATAGTGTTATTGTTTCAATTTAAGTCTTCATAGCATTCATTTAAATAATAATGAACATAGCAAAGACAAAGCACTAGCTATACACCTTGCCCACAGTTGGCTGTGTTTCCAGTGTTTCCACGTGCTCAGTGCTAGTAATGTTTTATCCTGATCTGTAATATGTGAAAGCAAAGTTGATACATGTCGTGATCAACAGACAAGGGGTGTGGACAAAAAAACTCATTCTGGACAGGTACATGAATCTGTATTTCCCTTTCCGAGCTCTGCAGAGTGCACTAACTGCAAAATTGGGGCTCCTATACTGTATGGCTGCCAGGCCACAGAGTAATTAGCACTCACACTGATTTTCAGCTGTCTTCCATACTGTTTCTCAACCGTAAGTCCATACTTGGACTTAACTTCCAGTCTAGGTCCAGTTTACCAGTCTTCCCTGCCTCCTATATGGGAGTCCTTCCCAATCATTCACCAATAGGGTAGTAGATAAGGCACGGTGGCACTGGTGTATGAAGAGTATGAAGCGATTGGCATTGGCCCCTTGAGATGTATAGGGAACAGCAGAGGCAGTGGCCCCTCTGGGCAGCTCCTCACGGCCTTTCTGGTTCATTGCCTGCATTCACTTTTCATTTATTTGTTCATATTGGACTCCTGTCTTTCCCTTGCTGCGTATCAAACCACAATTTGGTATACAGGAAGTGTTTTTTCACCGTTAGACTGTAAGATGTTTATAAGATGTTGCAATGTGGGCATACATGAAAAACTGTTCAGAGCAGAAGCTGTGGAGCAAGATAGACAGCATGAGAACCAAGGACACCTCTAGAAGAAGAAAGAACGTCTCATGGCTCTGATTAATAATAAGCGCCTGTGTGAACGGTTGAAGAGTGTTTTGTAGAATGCTCTGCTGACGTGTAAGGGTGGATGGGAAAGTTGTAGGGGTGGGAAAGCTAATGAAGTATATGCTATATATATAGTATATAAGCTAATGAAAGCTATATAAGTGATGTGAGAACTTGTAACTAACAATTTGGATCGTTCAGATCCGAGTCTGTGCATCAGATGCTGCATTGCAGTAGCCATGTCAAAATAGTTTCATGAAAGTAACTGTGCATGGAGCTGTGAATCTTTTACACCAAGGTACGAGATATTTTGAAGAGTCATTTGTAATTTTTGTCAATTTTCAGACTTGGTCAACTATTCTTCTGAACGTTATGTGTTTTTAAAACCTTTATATGCACTTCACTTTGATTTTACATGTTTCTGTTGAGAAGTAAGGGAAGTTACAATAATATAACAGATGTTACGATGATGTATCTGGGATTTGCACTGCAACTTCTGTAGTGGACACTGCAATGCCTAATCCTCGGTTGTTTGCTTTTTTTTTTTTTTTTTTGTAGGCTTTACTGGGCCCCGAGGAGACAGGGGCCCAAATGGCTTACCTGGACTACAGGGACATCCAGGTCTTATGGGAAAGTCTGGTGCTCCAGGACTGGACGGACAGAAGGGTGCTCCTGGTGATGTTTTGAGAGCAGCAGCAGGTCCTCGAGGGGATGCTGGGCTGCCTGGCTTCCCTGGCTTGAAAGGTGCACCAGGAGATCAAGGAATACCAGGAATTAGAGGTACTTCAAGTAAAGAAATGTTTAAGACTGGGGTATAAATGTAGCCAAACTATGACTACGTGAGGGAAGTGAAAGACCAATTGAACTCGAGCACCTTCTGTGAGGTTCCTCTCAAACACCTTCTGGAAATTCACTGCTTATACCAGCACACTCTCACACTGCACCACATGGCATCACCTATAATAGGACATCAAAGAACAAGATTTTCTCATCTTTGTTGTATCAGATGTATCCTTTAGTTTTTCCAGCCATAGATAATTATCTTGAATTTTCACTTATGTACTACTCTTTTCACTACTATTTTCACTTATGTAATACTCAGCTTCATTTCCAACCCCTACAATGTCTGGATAGATGGCTTTGTAGTACAGCACATTGCTCCACTGCAGAATTTGTAAATATTAGCAGAGAAGGCACAGCATTTAGTAACACGTTAATAAGCCCTTTTACCTCAAGGGTCTTTGAGCACTCCAGGAACAAGAAAAAGGGAGCATTACATATTTACTCATGATTTTAGGGTGCTCACTTTATTTTGTTATTTTACAGAGCTTAAAAAAACATGCTCTACTTATAGTAGACAGAAAAAAAACCATAACATCTTCATTAAAGCTGTCTGTGTCACTCTTTGATTTCAGTGGGGGACTTTAAAAAGCATCTATAGGAATTAAGCATTACCTGCTATACTGTTTCAGCAGCAGCTGGACACAGGACTGCAAACTTACCCCCTTGCTCTGTTGTGGAACTGAGGAAGGAGGAGAAATTGTGTGACTAGCTCAAAGCAAAGAGGAATTTGATAGAAACTTATTTTGGTGACTCATCTCATGATTTTCAATGCAAATGGATAAAGACAAGATAAGCATGTCATTTTACATGACTTATTTGAAGTGAGAAGATCTGTTTTCATCTTCAGTACAGTCACAGAATGAAGGAATGAAATAAAAGCAGCTCTGTAGCACTGTGGTAACACTTGCTATGTCTGAGAAAACAATACCACTAATGCCCCTAAGACTCTTTTTCTCTGAGGGAGAAGAAATTCAAGGGTGAACACAGACTAAAAAGATGTGACCGAACCCTCTTTCCTGTTGCTTTTATACAAAGTGTTTGGCAACTCCTTTATTTCATCTGTGCCAGTTAAACTACTAGCCCTTCAGAACAGGGAGCAAATGTCTCTGTTCTGTTGCTGAGAAAACTCACCACCTGTGACCTTTTAGTTTCTCTCAGTTCTAAAGCACATGCAACTACATTCAAGCCTCTGCACCTACAATGATATAAAACCCAAATAAAGAGAAGCAGAGCCACCTATCCTGGATTTTAAGTGTGATGTGCTTTTGAGATCTTGTGCACTATTGCTTATCCAATCCGAATGCAAAGCGTGCATTACCATTTAAAAGTGGAAGGACTTGACATTGCCGTTGCTATTATCTTGTAGAGATGTAAATTTTCACTCGAAACATTGAAGTGTAGAATCAGGGCATTTTGCTGAGGAATTTGTATGAAACTTATAGCGGTACCTCACTTGAAAAATTCTGAATACAACACAACACAAAGAACCCACTGTTGCCTTACTTTTTTTTCCATTTCTCCTATCACATTTTAGAAAAGACACAGGGCATTATTTCTGTGTTTTGGTCAACTCGATTCAGTTCTTACAAAGACATATGTAACAAAGGGAAAGATCAGAAATTACAGAATTATTGGAGTTAGAAATGGAAGAGAGTTACTCTGTTTAGATCTACCTGATACTAAATTACTTCCATTCATTTGAAAGAGCCCATCAACCTTTCCAGTGCAAATATGGAGACTAGCACCAATAACATCAAGAATTTAAAACTAATGAGCAGCCTTTTAATTTGCTTTTCTTCTTCTCATTGATTTTCAGAGGAAAAAATACATCCTGAAAGAATAGTACATATTCAGCTATTTTGAGAAATGATATGTAATTAATAATCCAGTCTCTCAATATTTATGTTCACTAATGCGTGGTATTACGGTATTTTAGGAGCGGATGGTAACCCAGGATTGCCAGGCCCCAAAGGTGATCCAGGGCTGCAAGGTCTCCCTGGTTTGATGGGTTTACCAGGAACACCAGGAACTCATGGATTCCCAGGGCCACCAGGAAACCCCGGCCCTGATGGTGGACCTGGCTCTCAAGGACCCCTTGGTGAGGAAGTATTGCCGTCCTGTGTCACTTCTCTTCCCCACTCTCTGTGGCAAGGAACCTGTATAATTTCCCAGGGGAAAATTAACTTTGAGATTGTGGCACATGTCAGGCTGTAATTCTCAGTCAGGGAAATGACTTGGATAATGCAGTCACTGTGAATGCAAACTATACTGGTGTATCAGCTGGGGAATAGGGGTGATGGTGGTCCTCGGAGGCAGAGCTGCTGCTTTTCCTTCTATAGCCATGTGCCATGCAGGGACAGAGCTCACTGCAGTCAGTCTGGAAGAATGAACAACTAAATGGGAGTACTCTTTTATTAAAAAGCCTTAATTTTTAAATAAAAGAGGAGGGAGAGATCATGTTGGGAGTGAGTGTAGAACCAGGATGTTAGCAAGATTAGTTTGTGTTGCTGTGTTGCTGCTTTGTCTGTGTAATCATTTCTGAAGTTCTCTGTTGAAAAAACCACAGTTTTTTCCCTTTCAACTTGAAGCCAGTACGATAGCAGTTTTTCCCTGCTTGGGCTACCTTCTGTATAATCACTGTGTATATCCAAACACTTTAATCTCCCTTTTCACACATTCACATGGCAGGTCCACCAGGTGCAAGGGGAGAAGATGGTGAGCAAGGCTTTCCTGGTCTGGTGGGCATAAAAGGTCAGTCTGGTGACAAAGGTGAAACAGGTTTCCCAGGATTACAAGGTATCCCTGGCGTGACTGGTCCCCCTGGCATTAGTGGAATGGATGGATTTCCAGGAGACAAAGGTAAGCTCTAAATAGCTGCACTGAAAGAAATAATGTCGCTTAAAGCTGCTCAGTGCTGAGATGAATAGGACACATTTTCTGCTGGGCTACCTCTTTAAAACAGGAATTATACTCCTAGGCTTAATATATTCCAAAATCATTGTATGTTTTCTCTTGTGTTGTGCTTGGTGCAAAGCTAGCTTGAAGAGCAGCAGTGGTTTACAGTATTTACTATTTGTTCTTCCCAAAAGTCTTTCCCTTGGCCCAGTCCCACCAGCTGTCAGTTGAATGTGACAGATGTTTCCCCAAGCCTTTAAAGTTTTTGAAAGTTGGCAGCTCTGTGCTGAGCAGTGCCAGACACCAGACCTTGATGCTGAATTTTAACAGGATACTGATCTTTTGTATAAACAAGTAGAGACTCTCTGCTACCTGTCACAAAAGCATTATATACGATGCAAGTTGTATCATGCAAGGACTTTCAACAGAGTTCAACTCTATTCAAACAGAAGAGATGAGTGCCTAAAAATTCATGCAGACTGATGAGATCATCAGTTGAAAAGACAGTTAAGGCTTCTTTTTTTTTTTCCCCAGGATTACTCTGGTGTTCTGATCAGCTCCTTGTTAGAGGAATGAAGATCTGTTTGGTAGCATGACCCATGTAAAACAGGATCCTCTTGTTTAGAAGAGAGGAATGCCATAATTTTTGGTCTGTAGGATCAGGGTTGAAACAGTTTTTCAGAAGATGATGCTAAGATCTGGCCATCTCCACATCTTCTTTTGGCCAGACTAAGGAACTCATTGAAGCCCTGATCTCATGTAGATACCTACATCCCAGAGAGCTTAGGTGCCTAATATGGAATGGCACATTGCCCTAGGCATCAAGGCACCCAGAAATGGTGCTGCAGCAGTGCAACTTTCAGACAGCTTTAGTTGTGCATTATCATTTCATATTTACCTATTCTGCAGAAATCTGAACAAGATAACAGTTGTCTTCCACTTCTCTTTAAAGGCTCAAGAGGTTCACCTGGCATTGATGGTTTCAAAGGCATGCCAGGCCTGAAAGGAAGACCAGGAATCAAAGGAATCAAAGGAGAATTTGGCTTATTTGGGGCTCGGGGTGATAAAGGCGCGCAGGGTGCTCGAGGCTTTAAAGGTATTTGCTTATGAGTGGTACAGTGTTTGCTTTTCACATATGGAGAACTGTTTTGCAAGGGTGCACAGACAAAGATGACACATTTTAGACATAGTTTAGCTCAGACATTGCTCCACCTATTTCCCACATGGGCCTCTGGCTGAGAAGCTTGGATTTGAGGCGCAAGGGAAGGTTGTTTCTTTGTGAATCTTGAGCGTGGTCAGGATGGAGACAGGCACACCACCAAATTTGAACACACCTCCAGACACATGTAGAACTCAACAGAGTTTTTTCCTGGGAGGTGTAAGATGTCTGGGGGAAAAGATTCCAATTTTGCCTCAAGATAAAGGCAAAAAAATATTCAGAAAACTGTACAGTTAAGTCAGAAACATGCCAATTGATATCACAATCAGTGAAAGGAACTCTGTAATTCAGTCCTCCAACAGGAAGTTGGAACAAAATAGCTGGTAACAAATCCAAACACTTTCTTTCACCCAAGCCTTTTTAAGTCCCATTTGACTGAGGGCTTCCCTTTCACTGGAAACTACCCACTTGTCTCTGCTTTCTGTGATTTTGGTTTTCATAAGCACTTGGTAATTGATCTACTGAGAGGTAAACTCCCCTGTCACAGGGGAGCCCATGTCCAACTCCCCAGAATAGCATATGGAAGTCTAGCTTAGTTTTCATATTTTCTTATGCTTATTTGTTCTGCAGATATGTTGTATTGATATGGTCAGTTTTCCATGCAAACAGGTTTTCCATGGCTTGTGCAAGGTTTTCCTTTAATCTCTTTTGACTGATCACACTATGCTGTTGTCTCTTTTTCCAGCTCAGTGCAGCTGACCAGCTTTTTAAAAGATGGGTGTTTCTTTACCCTTTAGGTGACCGAGGAGAACAAGGTCCCCCAGGAGAGCCCCCGAAGCCAAAGCCTAGCATGATGATGAAAGTTAAAGGTGAAAAAGGAGATGCTGGAGAAACTGGCACCAAGGGATTCTTTGGCATAAAAGGTCAGTGCTAATGGCAAAGCAAAGCGAGCACATTTAGGGTTAGTTGGTGTCTAGGTATTTTCTCATGTACTGTATAAAACATTCTCAGCTCAGTGCACCCCCACACTGCAGCCCACTCAGTGAAGCCTCCATCAAACAAAGCTGAGCTCGCAGAGAGAAAACCCAAGGAAAACTGTCTGCTCATGCCACTTGTGTGTGCTGCTCTGTTGTGCCAGCATGTTGTGGTGCTGTGTTGCACAAAGGCTGTTAGCATGAAGTTCTTTTCCACACGGGCAACTGTATATCAGCCTTCTCTGGTCTAGTGCTTTAAGTCTTCTCGGTTTGTCTTTTTCCCCTCCTGCAGGTAGCAAGGGAATGCCAGGCCTTCCTGGTAAGACAGGAATTCCTGGGTCCCCAGGACACCCCAGTTATGTGCCTGGTGTGAAGGGGGACATCGGTGCAAAAGGGCTGACGGGTCTGAAAGGGTATCCTGGTCCAACTGGCTCTCCAGGCATCAGAGGCTTCCCTGGCAGCACAGGAGGCAGGGTGAGTCCATACCAAGACTGGCAAAATGGCATCCTTTTGCTGCAACTTCTCTAGGGAGTGGCATTCACCCCTTGAAATTATACTGAACAGCTGAAGTACAAAGATAAAAATGCAAGAAGAATGGAATAAATAGATCAAATCTTTTTGCTTGATCTCTCTGATGTTCATTAAGGAGAATCTCTTCTCATTGGGAGACATCAGATTTCAGGTGCCAGCTTTCTGCCTATGAGGACCCAGACTGTTCTTTCGAGGTCCTTGGTTACTGTAGCTATTGGTAAAAATTATTTTCAGCGGTGTGTTTACTCTTTCTTTCCAAATTGATGGTGCCACTGCCTATAATTACTCACTGTCACTTCCCTAATAGCAAAAAACCTAAGAATCTCAGTTGCTTGAGCGCGATTCACTTTGGCATCAAAATAAGTTACATTGAAGTCTTGCAAAAGGCCTGGCAGTAGATTCACATGCATAATTTATTTAATAGAGACAAAAAAACGTGTTCCTTCCTCAGTTAGAAACATCCCTCAACTTCAGTAGAACTTTTTCCTGACCAAGAATAGGGAGACCATCTGTCATATATGTGCAATATGATGTTTTCCATTTCAAACCGAGACAGCAAACACAGCTTGTCACTTGGTTTGTGCTGGTTTGGGTTAACTGATTTCAGCCAAATTCAAAGTATAATGGAAACAAGCAAAAAACCCCAAACAAACAAACAAACAAACAAAAAAACAAAACACACAGAGCAAAACAAAAGGTAAATTTAATGTCCTTTTTTCAGTATTTAAACTCTGCTGCTTGGAAGGTTGAATAAATCCTCATTCTTATTAACCAATAATTGTTTTCAATCATACAACAGGGAGATAAGGGTGCCCCAGGAAGTTCGGGTCATTTTGGTACTCCTGGCTCCCATGGTGAAATTGGTGAGTTTGTTCTCTTATTTGAGCGTTCGTTCTGTTCATCAACAATCAAGTGACGTGAAATTCTGTAGGATGTGGGAGGGTCTTCAGTCTTAATGAGTCCTTCTACGGTCTTAGAGTATGGTGTTGTAAACACACGAGGCTGTGAAAAGCTTAATACTGTTAATTTCATGCAAGATTAAAATAAAATCATGGCAGGGCATCAGTAGAGGGGCTACATTCTATGTTTTTCTTCCTTTAACTTATTTCTGTTTTTATCTAGACAGATAATAATTGCAGAATGTTGTCTTGGAAGTTGCAGTTCTTCAAAAGTACAGGAAATGCTGCTGATTTTGGTTAAAGCTTTGCCACTCACTTGTTGTTTTTACCTTGAAATAGGTGAGCCGGGCGATACTATAAACTTACCAGGAATGCCAGGCCTTAAAGGGGAAGTTGGTGTGCCGGGTCTTACAGGTACCAATGTCACAGCTACTCTGGATTTCTCATTTTTCACAGATTAAATTCCACAGAGAAAAGGTGGGAGAGCTTAGCACGTGCTTTTGATGGCTGTTCAGCCTGTGGTTTCACAGCAGCTCTTGAAGAGCTGCATCTTCACTTAATTGAAATTAATATGTGCTACGTTTATCTCTTCAAATAAAATGACTGTTATGGCACTAAACTTCAATCACCAGCAGCTCTAGTAAAGCATCATAATGTATATATATATTTTTTTTTACCATTGGTGACAAAAGGAGCGATATCAGGGCAAAAAAGGGGGGATAGCAGAATTGGTTTTTGATTGAATTGGTTACATCTCTGCACATTCTGCATATTTGAACATCAGATTTGTAATTCAAATAATCTGGGGATAACTGTTAAAAGAACAAATTTAATGACAGATTGGCCAAGGTGCGGTAGAAGACCATTCATGCTCCCACACTTACGAAAGCACCCTGGCTTGAAGAATGTGTTTATGCAGCTAGAACAGGACTCATCAAGTAGCCAGCTTCACATTTAGCGAGTTAGTTTAGGATTATATAAAGATTACTGAGAGAATTTACTGCTTTTGTCATTTCTTTTTGCAGGCTTAAGAGGAGGCCCTGGACAAAAAGGCGAAGGAGGTGATCCTGGTTTACCTGGCATTGAAGGCCTCAAGGGCATACAGGGTGTACCTGGCTCCTTGGGACAGCAAGGTAAAATATTCTTCCCTTTTAACACTCCAAAGAATAAGACAGGATGAGAAAAGAAAGGAAAAAACACTATTCACTCAAGAGAAAGTCCTTACGTTTTTAAAATGTTAATTATTCTGTAAGTTGGTAAAGAGCAATAAAAAGAATGTGGAACTCCCAGGAGAACTTGTTAAGAGGAAATTTCAAAAGATTAACTCTGGTTCACAGCAATGTTTCCTTTCTTATAGCAGTCATATGCCCTGTCAAACTGTTGCACTGTTGGAGTACTTAGCTATGGTAATTCTCAATGCAACAAGGAGGTGGGCATTTCAGCACTCTTTTCTGCCATAAATGCAATAAATATCCCACAGGACCCAGTTGGGAAGCCTTTGAGCCACTTTCCCTGGCTGAACATACAGGAATACACAGAAACCAAAGTCAGGTCTGGCTCAGGCTGGATCACAAACTTGTGGCCTAAGAGCGTGTCTCATTCCAGGATGATCATCAAGGTGCTCCTGCAGAGCAGTTGGTCCACATTTCCTACGTAATTATAGGGTGTATGAATTCCATCCAAAACTGGAGCTGTGCTAGTAGGTACCTTACTGGGAAACAGCACTATTCTGCTCAGTTTTCCAGTCAAGGAGCCAAAATAGAGGGGGCAAATGGGGCAACTAAGGTGCACATAAGTGAAACTACCCATGGTAACTGCTAATTGAAGTCGGACAACCATTTTAGTAGAAGGAGTTTATTATATTCCTGAGGTTGTCATACCCTGAAATTTGCAATTAATTTGTTCTGTTACACCTTGCCTGTCTTCCCTTTTCTCTCCTTTGTCATCCACTTGGATGAAGGGTGCAGTGTCATACAGTGATGCTGAGGACATAAGCTTTTATTTTGCTACCTGGGAGAATGAAGGTAGCCCAAGCCAGTGTTCTGTGCTGTTGGCTTCTAAGGTCACTCATGATGATATACCATTATCACCTAGGTTTGCCAGGACTGGTCGGCCCTCCAGGGCAGCAAGGAAGCCCTGGAACGCCTGGATTCCAAGGAGAAAAAGGAACTCCTGGCTGGCCTGGCTTACCAGGACAAGCAGGTATTCATACAGCTTTGGCTACTCAGTCATTTCAGTGTGAGCAGTCGCTTTTATTCTTTGGGGGCGAAGAAGAAAGAGGGTTTTTTGCAATTCACAGTGGCAGAGCTCCTTCTAGTAAAAGTGCATTCCACAAGAAGTCCAGATGCATTGATGGGAACCTGTGTGGTTGCTTTTTAGTTCCTCGGTTCTGAAGGTCTGTTATCTGTTGAGCTCCCTTGAAGTTGCACTGGGGAAGGTTCAGGTTGGATGTTAGGAAAAAATTATTTGCAGACAGAGTGGTGAGGCAGTGACACAGGGTGGCCAGGGAGGTGGTGCAGTCACCACCCCTGGAGGTTTTCCAGAAAATGGTGGGTGTATGTCTGTGGGATGTGGTCAGTGGGCATGGTGGGGGTGGGCTGAAAGTTGGACTAGATGATTGTGAAGCTCTTTTCCAAGCTTAATGATTCTATGATTGGAAACTCGCACTCAACCAAGAAAGCAGTTTTCAGGAAATGTTTTCATTTATAATGAAGCTAAGAAAAAGAGTGATGAGATAGAGTGTTAGAATATTGAAATGTGGCATTAGATGGCAAACAATAAATTTGTCTTCCATCATCATCAAAACCCACTTACTGATCTGACACATGGTTTTATGATTTGGGTGGCTTACATCCAACTTGAGACTCAGACAGAACTCTGCTATCAGCATACAGGTAATGGCTTAAAATGAAGCTGTATCACAGGATCTCATTGTCTGCCACCTGACTCCTTCGTATATGAAGTGAGCAGATTTTTCTCTACAAGTACAGCAGGAAATTGCCCTGATTTTAGTGAGATTCATCTATCTGAATCTGCGTCAAATCAAAGCCAGTAGAGTTATGGAGGCTGCCCTTATAAGCAATGAAGAGAGAGGCAGACCGTTATTTTTGTGAAGGTTTAATTGTCCTTCAGAGCTCTGACAATTGATTAAAGATACCCACTTTAACATCGTGCTTAACTTTTTGATAGACACAAATAAATGGGATAAATTTTACCTATAACCGCAGTAGCAGCTATTAGACATTTTGTTAACTGTTGTTTGTGGTTTTTTTAATGACCCAGAGTGAATTTCTCCTGAAGATGGCTTCATTATAATTACATTTAGGTTGCACAATTATCCCATAATTGTCTTGGTTTGAGGACTTTTGAAAACATCAAATGGTTATTAGAAAGTTGCAGTCACAAGACTGGAACTAATGGCCTTCTACCAGACAGATTAGAGAGATTTTAAGTATCTCATTGTCAGCTTATTGGATATTAATTAGATTTGCTAATAAAAAAAAAAAAGAATAATATATTACATAGTAAGCTTATTATAATTAATTAATTTGCATATAATATGTGTGAGCTTAACACAGAATCATATTTATTTAAGCACTTCCATTTTTTCATGAGGAGTATATATGATCTTGTAGAAACTATTAAGATAATGAGTGTAATTTTAAAACAGGCTTACCTGGCTCAAGAGGAATCAGTGGACTGCATGGTTTACCAGGCACTAAGGGCTTACCAGGATCACCAGGTCAGTAAGACTTTCATTCTGCATATTGACAGGCACTGCATTGGGTTAGCTGCAAGTTTTGTCTGTGAGATCTTTGCAATGGGACTTTCCTTTTTTGTCCTCTAAAGCTCAATGTGAATTTGCCTTATCATTATGGACTCTGGCAAACAACCACTTACAGAGTACATGCTGAATTACAATACACCTTCATAATTTCTTTCCTTGAGTAAAGTTAAATCCTCATTATTTTCCTTTTCCATTATGAGCCACTCCATTGAGTACATCCATACGCTCTCTACATACACGTGAGAATGCTGACTCGATTCTATGTGAGGAAACATTTCTTCTTACTTGTGAACAATTCCACAACAGGTCCAGATGGCTATGGCTCTGCAGGCTTCCCAGGTCCTGTGGGTGACAAAGGAGAAGCAGGAGAGCCGAGCAGAGTGGAGGGCAGCCAAGGCCCGCCGGGTCAGAAGGGAGACAGAGGTGTTCCAGGTCTGTATACTGCAGAATGGGATCCACTTATTATTTGTTCCATTAGCGGGTGTTACAGATGTCATGAAGTGCAATACAGCATAGACAGCTGCATAGGAGAGCTACAGAAGCAGTGCCCAATGTGGGGAAAGTCACTGTAGTTACTTTTTGGAAAGTTACACTGTAGCTTCTGCTTACCCAGACGTTACTCAGAAACAATGCACTGCCCAATGCAGGACATGCTAACCCCTTCTGGATGGCCTGCATCCTTCCCCACAGCAGCAGCCCCCCTGCACTTCTGCCAGAGCTCAGCACACTGCAGATGCCAGAGGCTGCTCTCAGCCACCAGCTCCCAAAATATTTTTAAAGAGGCTCCAGTTACACGAGCACTGTGGCTGTCCTCTTTCTTTCTTTTCATTGCAAAACATTCAATGTTTACCTTTCTCCTGAAAGCCTCACAGTCCGTTAATGTGTGATTTTCCTCCTGATACCTCCTGGACTCTATTTGCATGCACCATGTTTCACTTACACCATCACCCTCGTGCCAGGTGAGCGAACAGCTTTTCAGCTCTGACCCACCTTGCTATAGCAGGCTGCAGTTACCTCAGTGCAGTGCACCACCAATTCTTCTTCCATCAGGGAGTCTCCAGACCAATGCTATGGATGAAACAATTAACTACCATATCATTTAATAAGTTTTCCAGTTTTTTAACTCTAAAAGCACCAAGGACTGGCAGAGGCATAAAACTTTACTCCCTCTACTTGAACTGTTCAGTGGCTGTTCTTTGTATTTTGCTTTGTCCTTACTAACAGGATGCATATTCTTTAACAGCATTCAGACATTTCATATCAAGCTCTGGAAGAAACAACTGTTTGGCTTATTTTGTTTGTGCTTATCTGAATTAAATATTATTAGTTTGTTGTTTTGTATTTTTTTTTACATGACTAAACAAAGGGGGTTTTGTGGCTTCCTGGCAAGGAAGGATGATTTTGAACAAAAAGGTGAGGCAAATTTTTGGCCATTTAGCTCCTTCTGAGGCCATCTATTATCTTCTTTTGGGCCATTTAACATCTTCCACCTATAGAGAATTGTAATCAAACTTTTGGTTTCATTTGACCCTCCAGAAAAACAAAGTGTCTGTGATCCCTATTCAATAGGACACAGAGGAACAAAGGTGCTTTCTAGTCTGCTGCAATATACTCAGGATATCTCAAGTACTCCCTGTTTTGAAGTAATATTTAACCTGGCAGACACAAAATTATTAGCATTCCACATAGCAAGATGTAATTAACTATCCAGAGAGCTTTGAAACACAACTAATGTTGAGGTTTTCTTTTTAAAACACCTCCACAGCATCATCTGAGGGGGAAAGAAAAGCAAAGATCAGTGGGAACTACAGGTGTTTCCACTTTGAAAATACAATCCTTTGCAGTTGGTGAAAAGTCAGTCTTTCTAATTGAAAGTGTCCATTTTCTTTGCAGTACTGATTATTTCCTCTCTTCTTTGCAGGAATCCAAGGACCCTTTGGCATTCCTGGGCAGGATGGACTTCCAGGCCCTCCTGGGATTTCCAATATATCAGGATATCCTGGTGATATAGGTTCACCAGGTCTAGATGGAGTGCCAGGTAATTCATGTGTTGTATCCATTGGGTAACAATAGGAGATTAAATACAAAATTAGCAACAGCAGTTTGTTTCAGTCTTTATTCAGTAAAGTATCTCTATTAAATGCAACACTGAAGTGCATGTCTCAGTGCTCCCTGCAGACAGAATGCTGGGATGCTCTCAGACAAAACCAGGAAGCAGAACTCTATGCCAAAGGCCATTCCTGGATACCCTGATGGAGGGACTTGTTGTTTCATGCAAACAGCGGATTTAATCAATCATCTAAAATTCTCTTAACAGCTTTTAGAAGCATTATGTCAATTTACTGCTTTAAAATCTTAGCCCTGTGCTGGAGTTGCAGATCTGCAGAACATTTTCTTAATTATTCCCAATTTTTTCCTATGTGAAATTACATAAGAAAGCATTATCTTTTCTCATCTCTAGAATTCCATGCTGTGAGCTTGCCTTTTTCACACATGAAAGAGTCAATCTGTGACTGTATATTTAGAAGCTGATAGCCCTTTTGCTTGTTGCAGTCATTTCAAACTTCAGTGCCACTGTGAAGCACTTGTAGCAGAAGTTGCAGGTGTATGTATACATCTCCATGTAGTATGTGGAAATTGAAATGTGAACTCAGCAAAAACTTAGAGCAGGCAGACTGTCTGTGAAACCAGCAAAATACCTAGGTTTCCAAGTGTGAAGAATATGTTAGTTGGCCTGACTGCATACTGATTCCCACTCCCCAAGCAGTCATTTCATTAAAAAATCAGTAAAAGTAGGGAAGGGAGTGGGCTAGGAACAGGAAGATCACCTGCCAGCTGATGTGGAATAGCGTGGCCCTTTTACTTTGCCGTAAGCATCTTGCATTCATATCCGCGCATAATCCAGCTTCAACAGGCAGCATCAGAGAAGCCCCACTGAAAACCATTATTATTAAATTCTTTTTTCCCTGGAAACAAAGTCCATTTTTTCTCTTCTCGGCAGCAGAGGTAGCAAACAGAAACCTGCCAAGTTTAGCTTCAGGCAATAGATACTTCTGGAAAAAGCAGCTGTTGCCATAACTGCCAAAAGAGAGTGAAGCAGTTATTTGTATCCAGGTGTTCAGCTGAAGCACCAAAGTACATGGAACACAGAGTCCGTAGCATATTTACCACCTGGCACCAATTATGTATTCATGGATGTCTGATTTCTCTCTAGTTACTTGGGAAATTTAGGTCAAAACAGGGAGGCACCCAGGGAAGTGGGGCATTTGCTGGGGCAGAGATAGCCCATCAAGGGCTGTGACAACACCATATTCTGCAGGAACTCTATGCTCTAATTACTCTGCCACTGCCAGGCTGAGAGCAGGATGCAGATTAAGACTGATAGACAACTGAGCATGAACTCCCTGCTTAAATTAAGGAAATAAAGCCTGATGTGATACAATTAGCACCTCTACCTTCATCTGTGCCCAGGTATTTAGGCAGTCTAAACAGATTACAGCTTGAATGTGCTCTAAACAGGCTATCCAGGACTACATGGGCAGCCTGGAATACCAGCTCCACCGGGAAGCAAGGGAGAAAGTGGACGAGCAGGCGTGAGCGGACAAGCTGGTCCCAAAGGGACAAGAGGTGATCCTGGACTACAAGGGAGACCTGGGATTCCCGGTTATCCCGGACCAAAAGGTAAGGACAGGAGATGCTGATCATCTATAGAGGGGAACCCTCTATGCTACAACAGTTTGAGTGTCATGACTTCAGAATTCATGTGATCTGTGTTAAAATACAGTAATGTCACATGTCTTTTTGCATCAAAGGTCGTAAGGGTGAACAAGGTGTCATTGGCTTTATTGGCACAGTAGGATTTCCAGGTGATCTGGGACCCATCGGACCCAAGGGGGATAGAGGACTTACTGGTGAGTAATTACAGTCAGACGTGTGACTGATTTCTAAACTTTCTGCAGCCACACAGTGCTGATGTAGGTGGCCTTGCCTTTATACCAGGTAATGACTCCAAAATCAGAGCCACTTTCAAGGGGAGAAAAAAAGATTTCTTGGTATGAACTAATTCTGCAGAGTATACATACTGGTTGTTTAGAAATTTATACATCGTTTATCTGTGTTTCCAGAAGCCCATAAAAAGATGATGCTCCACCTCAGGAAGCTGTTGGCTTTTGGGGGGGAAACTTCCCAGCTTCATATGTTGTAACTGAGGGAAGCACCATTCATTTCCTTCAGCTTATCTTTATGCTGCCCAATAAAAAACAATTCCCATCCTCATATATGTTCTCCTAATATAAAAACCATAAATCTTACAATGGAGGAAGTGTATTGCAGACACTTCAGAACAGTCCCTCTCTTGCATATGCAGCCAAGTAACACCAACACGTCTGTGAATGAAAGCATGTGAAGGCAAGTAAGTTTTGTTTTTTGTTTTTTGTTTTTTTAAATCAAACTGCTTTGTCTTGTTTCTTATCACAGGCTTTCAGGGCCCTCCAGGCTCTCCTGGGTTGCCGCCTCTTCCTCCAAGGCTGGTTGCTGAGCAAGGTTCACCAGGTCCCCGTGGAAGTACAGGACCTCAGGGAAGTCCAGGTGATACAGGACCTCAAGGTCCACCAGGAGAACCAGGTAGGAACTGTACACTTCGTTCCTCAACTCAGTTGCTGTGAATAGTGAGACCACCAGTGCACTGCTTTGGTTCTCTTCAACTCAAAACCATATGATTCAGAAAGGAGAGTCAAACTCGGGCTTTTCAAAGCTAGAGTCCTGGCTTTCCTCTGCTTCCTAACACTCAGAACTTAAGCAGAACAGGAGAGAACTGTTGACGACATTTGCACAGCCAAAGCAACATAAAATATGGATACAGTCAGTTAAATCAAGACCAAAAGTCACTGAAAAACTCATCCTTGTGGGCATGCTTTTGATGCAGGAAATGTAGTGACACACAGAGCAGATACAGCGCACCTCTTACTACTGGTCTCATTAGAAACATGTGGTGGTAACAAGAGTGAAAGATTAAGGTGGTGGGTGTCATGTAGTCTTGATCCTAGCAATCTTTTCCAGTGAATTCACTGCTCCTCTTTGAGCAGTAAGATCTTGCTCTCAGTGTAAACTGGTAAAACTGGCAGACAGGACTGAACACATGCAAATAGAGTACATGTTAACGGAGTAAGTCACTGTGCTCATCAATGTTGGTGCAAGGTTTCAGAGGCTTACCTGGAGAACCAGGACTCCAGGGCAGAGGTGGCATTCCAGCTCCTCCTGGATCCAGAGGTGAACAAGGAGCAATGGGGTTTCAAGGTCCAGTGGGATTTGAAGGTAAGAGATTCACACAGCATTTCTTCTCTCTTTCCCATTTCACTGTTTTAAATTGTTCTGTAATTATTATATCACTGGATGGGAGGAGGGAGGCTGGAGAAAGCTCATGTCTTTGCACATTCTTCACAGGGCACCACTAACTTGTAAAAAAGGACGCACTGTTTTCTAAATAAGTTTTGATAGGTGTAGATGGCAGTCAACTCATGAGAGTAAGTTTTTGATCTGAGTGTATATATTGGTTTATTTCAGCACAGTGTTTTGCTAGCACTTAAACAATGTTTGAGTAGGTGTTATTTGGATAGATTATGTTTAAGGGATTGTATTTGTGAAAAAATACTTGAGTCTTTATCCAGTCAAAGAGCAGCAAGATTGCCACCTTAATAAGCCAAGTACAAAGAGCATAATTGTAGCCATATGAAGCAAATGCAAGCAATAGAAAAGCTTTTGGTTAATCTTAAACTAAGAAAATGTTGTGAGGAAACAGATCCTCATCTGTGTTGCACAAATCCTGCTGAAATCCATCAGAACTTTATCTGTGGCTTTCCCTGGCTCTGATAGTGAAATACACCATGTTAGGAACCAATGAGCCTGTTACAGCACCAATCTGCTTCAAAACCAGCTTTTCTAATCCTAGAGCTACAGCTTTTTAAACAATAACTTGCCATAAGAAGAGTTATCTTGCAATTAATCTTTGCTCATGGGCAGTTTAGCTAGAATATCAGTGAGCATTTGTGAGAACACAAACTGAATTGTATTATTCTTCTCTCTTTCATCTAAGGCCAGCCAGGTCGCCCCGGTAGCCCCGGGCTGCCAGGCATGCCGGGTCGCAGCGTTAGCATCGGCTACCTGCTGGTGAAGCACAGCCAGTCTGACCAAGAGCCAATGTGCCCAATTGGCATGAACAAACTCTGGAGTGGCTACAGCCTCCTGTACTTCGAGGGACAAGAGAAAGCACACAACCAGGACCTAGGTACGTGCAGGTGTTGCTAGCAGCAGCCTCAACTCCATGCCACTGACTGAAAAGAAGAAAAAGAAATGGAACTTAGAGAAAGCTTGGATTTCAGTATGCAAGCTTAGGAAGCACCAAAAAGAGAAGATAAAAACTGTATGTCTCCATAGAGTGTCCCTGAGAGCTTGCAATTGTAAAGCCAGTGACACATTATGGACTGCAAGGTTTTACTGACACTCACTTAGGAAAGGGCAGGAAAGAACACTTGCGTTCTGCAAGAATGATTGCCATAATTTCTTTTCTTTCTTTTTTTTTAAACAGGGCTGGCTGGCTCCTGCTTGGCTCGTTTCAGTACAATGCCATTCCTCTACTGTAACCCTGGGGATATTTGTTATTATGCAAATCGAAATGACAAATCCTACTGGCTCTCAACTACAGCACCTCTTCCAATGATGCCTGTGGCAGAAGAAGAAATTAGGCCATATATCAGCCGCTGCTCTGTGTGTGAGGCCCCAGCTGTGGCAATTGCTGTCCATAGCCAAGAAGCTTCTATTCCTCGCTGCCCCGAAGGCTGGCGCAGTTTGTGGATTGGATATTCCTTCCTTATGGTATTTGTTCTCCAGTGTCGCATTCTGTATGGCACTAGATTTTAAGCATGAGTCTTAGATGCTAGGAAGGCTGCTCTGTCTTAGATTCAGTAACATCAGAACGATGCTTCATCCTGAGGACCTGGGGAACAACGAAAGTCATTCCTAGGAAGCAAAAATGAGAAGCAAAATTCCTGTGAATTGCAGAGAAAATGGCTAGAATAGTAATTTGGAGTCCTTTGTCAGAATAGTGTCTGGAGTCTTTATGTGCAAAAAGTGTCTGAGAGCAGAACACCGGGACAGCTGTGGCTTAGAAGGTACAGCCATGCTGAGGTGCAACCAAAGCCTACAAAGCATTTTCACAGCTAGCAAAAGAATCAGGGATGTACCTCATTACTAAGAAGCTGATGTGGAGGAAAAACAAGATAAATCCCCTTCTTTTGGATACTGAAAATCGTTGCTATTTAGATTTAGATGCAAAAATGTTACACTCAGTCTGGAAAGAGAGAGAGTCTCCTGTTGCTTTAAAAGTTAATCATCAATGTATTCCCCCTAAGCAGCTGAGGCCCCTCGTTGTGCTCAGCGCAGAGCGGAGGAGCTGAGGGGAGGCCTGATGGCAGTGCAGCTCCTCACAGGGAGCGGAGGGGCAGCGCTGAGCTCTGCTCTGTGTGACAGCGACAGGGCCAGAGGGAACGGCATGGAGCTGTCAGGGGAGGGCAGCTGGGGGAAGGGAAAGGGGCTGCAGCACAGCGCGGTGGGCATGGAGCGGGATGCACAGGGCTGTGGGCACGGACCCCAGTGCCAGAGTGCAAGGAGCCGTGTTGTTAAGGCGGGAAAAATAGAATAAGATTCATTTGGCAGAAATCATCACAGAATATCTCTAGTTAATCTTTTCCACAAATTATTTGCTTTTCAAAAGTTTCAGTTTTTCTTTTTTATGAAAAAAAGGAAAAAAAGGAAATTTGATATTTTTCACAAAGATTTGAGAAAAGGCGGATCAGGATTTTTACAAGCCTTATATTTGACCTTTCTCTTGCTTCTTGGAAAAGCCCTTGATAGCAATCTCATAGTTCCTTCCCAGGAATGCCAAGGATTAATTGTTTGTAAAGGTAAACATTCAGCATTGTTAAGGGCAAAGCTGTCACCTTAGCAAGAAGCTTTTGCCAGGACAAAGTCTGCCAGCACCACAGAACATACAGTGAGAAGTGTTTTAGAAGAGTCAGATCTTCAGTTTCCCATCTAATACTCCAAGCAACTGAAGTATTTGTCATACACATTTTTTTGCTTCTCATGCAGCTGTTGAAAGAGAAGGGAAACAGGCTTCTGGTTATGTCAGGCTACATATTGTTTTACTGCCTTGGTTGAGATTTGTCACCTCCTTCCCTTGGCGCAATCATGAAGGAGTCACCATGGACTCCTGCCCAAGCAGCCTTGGAGATTGGTAAGGTTTCATGTGGAAAGGGTACACAGCTGTAGTGCTTCCTGGAAAGGTGTAACCCCTGCAGAGGGACGGGAAGCTCTGGCCAGAGAAAAGGAAGCTGTTAGAGACGCAGAGTTGGTGTACACTGAGCATAGGAATATCACGGTCCTTGTCCTGAGGTTGCCAAGCAGGACTGCTCCCAACCCAGTACTTGGAGAACACATGCAGTTTTTTTCTGGCTGCTTTGTAGATCCAGCTGCAGAGGTCTCAAAGCTGTGAATCATAGAATTGCTCAGGTTAGAAAAGACCTTAAAGATCATGGAGTCCAACCACAAGCTAACCATCCTACCCTAACTCTAACAAGCCTCCGCTAAATCATGTCCCTGAGCACCACATCCAAATGGTTTTTAAACACACCCAGGGATGGTGACTCCACCACCTCCCTGGGGAGCCAATTCCAGTGCTTAACAACTTTCTGCAAAGAAGTTTTTGCTGATATCCATCGTAACCTTACCTTGGCACAACTTGAGGCCATTTGCAATCGTCCTGTCACAAGTGCAAAGAGACCAGCCCCACTCTCGCTATAAGCACCTTTCAGGTATTGGAAGAGAGCAATAAGGTCTCCCCTCAGCCTCCTTTTCCCCAGACTGAACAGCCCCAGTTCCTTCAGTCTCTCCTCGTAGGCCATATTCTGCAAGCCCTTCAGCAGCCTTGTTGCCCTTCTTTGGACCTGATCCAGCACCTCAGTGTCCTTTCTGTACTGAGGTGCCCAAAACTGAACACAGTACTTGAGGTCAGGCCTCACCAGTGCCGAGTTCAGTCCTTCTACTTACCAACTTTGTTTATCTAGAGGGATGCTAGAACAGTTTCACTCTGAAGCTTTACAGCTTACTACATCATCTTGCGATTTGTAACACAGCCCACGTGTTGTGTTTAAAAAAATAAATAAATCTAAAACCTCAGCAACATGCAGCCCTGCCCACAGCTCAGACTCCTTCACTCCACTCCAAGGTGGCCACTTGTCTTCCTTGTGGATATGAACACGGTGGGCCTCTGAGTGTAAACCAAGGCAGTAATGTTACAAAAGTTAGGCGCTTTTATAATACAGTGCTTATTAAAACGTAAGCAGGCAAACATACATACCCAGCAGATTTCTTCCTACATTTACAGATTTAGCAAGTGTATTTTCCATTTCCAGCAAAAGCATTTTCCATGCTTTCATTTATATTGCAAATTCCTTCCGTTTTTAAGAGAAAATTAAACTCTGTCACTTCTGTAGCTGTAAGCCCTCAGGCAGACCAGGAGCGCCTGTTTGGTCAGAGATTCCTTTGACAGAACACAAGTAACATTAGCTTGTTACTACTGTCTGTGTCAAAGGTAGCAGCTGAGTGGTTTCAGATGCATAAGCTTGGTGCAATTTGCAGTTAATGAAATTCTGATAGAGGGAAGCTAGTTATTTGTATAGAAGCCAAATCTTTGTTTCCATAGACTTCTTATAGGCTATGTGGAATAAATAAGACTTTATAATGAGGAAAATTCAGGTTAGATATATGGAAAAACATCCTTCTCAGTGACAAAAAAAAAACAGAAGAACAGGGTTGCCCATAGAGGTGGTGAAAAATCCATTCTCAGATATCTCAACAACTTGTCTGTGCCTTGGAACAACCCAGTGCAACTTTGAAGCTGCTCAAAGCAGCTTTGAGCAGAGGACTGGCTGAAGTGACACTGAAAGGGCCCTTTCTCACCTTCATGATTCCTCATTTATAAGATTTGCAACAGGGAGAATCCTAACTCTAGAAAAGATGTTTGTCAGAAATGGCATCAACACTTGAGATAGTTCCTTAGTATAAAGCATAGCCAAACCCTTAATCTTACACAGCTGCAGGATCAGTCGCTCTGGGTTTAAGAATTAGGAGCACTTCTAGTGCTTCTCCTGTCTTCCCACGCATAATGTGTTGATGGCATTGTCTGAGGTTGTGCTCTGAACGTTGCCCTCCTTGTCTCCTTTAGCACACTGCAGCCGGCGATGAAGGTGGAGGACAGTCGCTGGTCTCTCCTGGGAGCTGCCTGGAAGATTTCAGGGCTACTCCTTTCATCGAGTGCAATGGGGCACGTGGAACCTGTCATTACTTTGCCAATAAGTACAGCTTCTGGCTCACTACTATTGACCAGCCCTTCCAAAGCAAGCCCTCGGCAGATACACTCAAGGCAGGACTCATCCGAAGCCATATCAGCAGATGTCAAGTCTGTATGAAAAATTTATAGAAGCCTTTCATAGTGTAAGGAACCTGCTTACCATCTAGCACTTGTACAGTGAAACCTTCTAGGATGTTTAGACATTTGAATAAATCATGTTGGTGCTTTTTTAACTTATTACCTCAAAAGCGGAACGGAAAGATGATGTTTAAGTGTATAAAAGCAAAACAAGCGTAACACAAATTAACACACAGACCTAGTGCTGTGTTCTTCTGCTATACAGTGCATATATATGTTTTTGCTAGTCTAACAGATGTTGCAAATACTCACGCCTTTGAAGCACAAAAAACTTCAGAAATAAAAGCTTACCGTGGTCAGATACCCACTGCATTTACTTTGATATATACATCTCTTCTATTATGGTATTTGTCACAATGCTAAACACTAACAGCTACAATTCAAACCATTAACACATCGTGATCACGCTGAGTGTTAAAGCCTTGCAAAATTTTGACACTGTACAGTGGAAGGTGCTTACATCCACCATTAAAATCCATGACTGTTTTATGATCAGGCATCTCAAACACACTCAGAGCAATCAGCTTTTCATTGTATTTGTGGGGTTTTTTTAAGGCTCACAATTTCCTAGCACTTTGTCACTAAAAATAGAGAAGCCCACAATTGAGTGACCACAAAATGCTATCTTTTCCTATGTTGGTTAGGAGACTATATGATAATCATCAGCATATTGTTTTACAAGTCTGGCCATCTTTTTCTGGATGTGCTCCAGACACTGCTGTCAGACACAGGATTTGAATGTTGGGTGCTCCCCAATGGAGCCAGGAGTTGGACTCAGTGATCACAGAATCACAGAATGGCAGGATTGGAAGGAACCTCAAGGATCATGAAGCTCCAACCTCTCCATTTAACCAGGCTGCCCCGGGCCCCATCCAATCTGGCCTGGAGCACCTCCAGGGATGGGGCATCCACAACCTCTCTGGGCAGCCTGTTCCAGCACCTCACCACTCTCTATAAAGAACTTCCCGCTGACATCCAACCTAAATCTTCTCTCCCTCAACTTAAAACCATTTCCCCTTGTCCTGCAGTTATCACCCTTTCCAAGAGTTGATTCCCCTCCCCTCTGTAGGCTCCCTTTAGGTACTGAAAGGCTGCAATGAGGTCACCCTGCAGCCTTCTTTTCTCCAGGCTGAACAAGCCCAGCTCCCTCAGCCTGTCCTCACAGGGGAGGTGCTCCAGTCCCCTGATCATCCTAGTGGCTCTCCTCTGGACCCTCTCAGCAGCTCTCTTTCTTTCTTGTACTGGGGGTTCCAGACCTGGACACAGTACTCCAGATGGGGCCTCACAAGAGCAGAGAGGGACAATCACCTCCCTGTATCTGCCGGCCAGTTCGGAGCCCAGGATACCATTTGCTTTCCAAGCTGCAAGAGCACACTGCTGGCTCATGCTAAATTTTTCATCAACCAGGACTCCCAGGTTGTCTGCAGGGCTGCTCTCAAGGGCCGCTCCTTCCAGTCTGTATAAACGCCTGGGATTCCTCTGGCCCAAGTTCAAAACCTTGCACTTTGCTATGCTGATCCTCATTAGGTTCACCCAGGCCCACCCTTCAAGTCTGTCGAGGTCCCTTTGAATGGCATTCCTTCCTTCCACCATGTCAAACGTACCACCATGTCAACGTGATCCTTGTGGTTCCCTTCCAACTCAGGATATTCCATGGTGCTGTGATTACAAAGGTCCTCTGTGTTGTGGGCATTCACCTGTGTGATGCTACTCACAGCAGCACCGAGTGGTTTTGAATTGCAGCTCTTCCCCTCTGAAAGCAGCCACAGGTAGCGACCGTGTGCTGCTGCAGCAGCAGTTGCACGTAGGAGAGGCTTTCCAGGTCAGCTTACGGCTTGATGCCACATCACCTCCAAAGCTGGAGCCCATGCTTATGAAAACAAAGGGGAAGGAAGCAGGGCATTTATTTGGCACCATCTCTTCCCATGAAGAACTGTGTCATTGCATGCCAGGCTTGGGAAATCCCCAAATAGCCAGCTCTTCCCTTCTAGAGAAGAAAGCAATTTAATCCAGTTGTCTGTCATTGCTGCAGGAGAGGGGGGGGAAGAATCAGTTGCAAATTATTCTCTTCCTCCTGGCAAAGTCTGGTTATATATTCCCAAACACCAAAAACTGAAATCAAAGAGAAAAATAATTGCTGATATCAAAGTCACTGGTTCACTCCTGCTTCGGGTGCTTATTGGCTTTTGTAATTACATTCCATCCTCACTGTGTCATAAATAAATGGGTTTTTTATACACCTCTATTTGTTGATTATTTCCATTTTTTAGCAGGTTTTGTTGTTGTTGTTTTCCTAAAATAAAATGCATATGGACGGCTCTTTTGAATTGCTTTCTAAGGCAATAACAAAACAGAGGCACTGCTATGAAGAGCCTTCCTGAAATTCAAACTCTTCAACCAGGAATACACTTTGAGGCACTTAAATCCTTCCGAGAGGAAACCTGCAGTTCAGGAGCTGCTCTTTTAGGCTGATGTGGTGGTATTTCACCTGTTGTCACAAAGGGGAATTTTAAGTCAATAAATAGTGATGCAGCAAATTAAAGCTAGATATTATTCATGTTCACCTATGTCCAGGACACCAACACTGACCAACTTCAACAAGTGTTACCTCTGCAAAAATGTAAAGTGCAAGTGAAGGTCAAGTTCTCAGCCAGCAGGGTTTCTGGCCTACATTAGTTGTGCATGTAATTACATAGATCCACAAACAGAGAATTCCCCTGTGCTTGAAATCAGCTCACTGATCATATTGGAGCGATGAAGGGCAGGCTCCAAACAAACCAAATCTGCCACTGTTTCTTTCAGCTAAACCAAATCCCTAGAATTGCAAACGCTGCCATCCGCATCAGCCAAATCTGTTCCACATTTGCCCGTCCTTTCAGATTGCACGCAGCAGTGACAGACACCTGAGAGTCATCAATTTGCCTCTTCCAGATCTTGCCAGACAGACATACTTGTGGGACAACCGGACATTACATCACTGAGGGTTTTTACAGTTTGCAATGCCTGTAGTGCAGCAGCTGAAAGGATTTACGAGAATTCGAGTTGAGGTTATACAAACCAGTGACAACTATTGTGTCAGCAGCAACAGCTGAGCACTCAAGACTTCAATGACTGATGCATTGCCTAATCTTCTTTTGCAGCTAGTTCATTTTGAGGAATTCAGCAGACGGGTCCTTCTCCAAAAGTTGCGTTTCCTCTCTCGTTTCTGACTCGCAAGCCGTTTGCTCAGCATTGTACAGCAGAACGGTATGAGTCAAAATGTGGGCATGGGTCAAGAAACAAGGAGGGGGAAAAAAATCATGCCATGCATGTGCAAAGTTTCATATTCTGTTTGCGTATGTCATGTGCTTCAGATCCACACACCGTTTAGAATCTTAGCGTTCTAAACATAGCACTTTTGTTTCCTAAGCTTCTGCTGTTTGAAAATACCTTGAAGTGGAGCACGCTGCTCAGTGTGGAGAAAGGTCAGCAAGGATACGTCCCCCTCCTCTGGCAGCAGAGCACTGCTGCACCAGCACAGCCAGAGTAAAATCAATGCAACTCGACCAGGTGACACCAATGCTTTTCTCACTGTATCAACCAACTCTGCCAAGTACACTGCATGATTGGGCTTGTCCAAGGCAGCTGGAAATAGAACAGAGGAAAGGCACAGCAGCAGGCATGCCCCTGTAACGGGCGGTATCCAATTGCTGCTAGCAGGCAGGGTGCACGCTCACCCCTCTATGGGTTTGGCTGCACCTTATTTGGGTGACAGACTGCAGCCCTACCCCTGCCTCGCTCCAGCACGAGGATGCTCACTCGCACTGCTTTCAGCCTGAATATTGTTGGGCTTTCCACTGTGACATGGAGAAGGCCATGGCCAAGCCAAAACAGGCAGACAGCCCAGCCTTGGCTGCAGACCCACCACTGCCTGTCCCATCCAGACCTACCCCTCAGGTAGCAGCCTGGCTCAGCTGGTACAGGCAGGCCATGGCTCATGATCACCTGGTGTCACCAAAAACAGTATCTGCTTTGCTGTCTGCATGCTCCATATAATCTAGACAAACACAACATGGAAAAGAGGGAACAATAAGTACTTGGAAAATGAGTTTCCTTATCTGCAACAGGGCAGGCAGAGCTTCACACAACACTGGCAACTCTCATGCAGAGGCATACCCATGCACAGCCATACCCATGCACAGCCATGAGAGGCCTGAGTCGAGACCATGCACTGGAATTGTTAATGAGAAAAGCAGCTTTGGGAGGGCAGGGTAATACACAACACTTGGCAGGACACAGAAGAGCTGGCATTAAGGAGGGACACAGCCAAGACGTGCCCAAAGGGCACAGCCACGTATTGCCTCAGCACTCAGGGGATTGGAATTTTGACTGACTGGAGAGCTCAGCCTCTACTTGCCTGGTGTCAAAAATCTCCCTGTGCAGCTTCCACCCATCAACACAAGCCATGGCGCCCACTGCAGCCTCCATGCTGGTGGCATCCCCAGCTCACTGCAACTGCAGAACCCCAAATCGTGTCAGGACAGCAGCTCTCCTGCACCATTTTCACCTTCCTGAAGCAGTTGCTTTTTTCTACATGACCAGGTGTTAGCTGGGGAGGTTATTAAGACAAGAAAAAGTAGGACACGTGTGCATCAACACTGTGCTGTCAAACGGAGCTCAGCTGTAGCAGAGCTTAAGTTACTAATTAAAAAAAAAGAAAACCTACATCAAGTCCCATAAACCTTCAAGTTTTGCTTGAATGTGACTTCAGAAAGCAGCAAAGAAATGGGGCCAGCATGCACTCTGAACAACCCAGATTCCCTCCTGAGTTCTTACCAATAGCCTCCATGTACTGCTGGGTCTCCTGGGTCCTGCTATGCACTCCCTTGTCCCCCATTGTTGGCAAAGCAAAACCATAAACAGTATATTCCACAAGTATAGCCCTGTGGGCAAAGAATGGGTTCTGTTGCATCTCTTTCAGTAAAAATACCTAAGTCAGAGCTTTTGGAAAGACTGTAGGGATGCAGAAAAGCCAGTGGCAGACTTTTCACGGATCACTTTGGTCACAAACATGACCAAGTATGCTTCAGTACACTTACAACAAGGAAATAAAGCTATTTCCACCTTCACCCTGATGTGAAAGAGCTAAGCTGCTCAAGAGGATACACTGGTAAAAAAAAAAAGTTTAATATATACTCAGTAATAACATAGTTCCTCATTCATCTGGGAATGGTCTCCCTGTGTGCCAAACAACCACGAACTGGGTTGGACGCAGAGAGACACAATGCATATAAACAGCTAACTTTCTACTTTTGAGAAACCATGCCTGCAGCGTCTGTAGGAAGATGAAGGAGACCCTGCAGAAGAACCTGAAAACTGGAAGTATGTATAGTATTCAGTGTCTGTGTGGGACACTGGTTGGGAAGCCCTAGGAGCAGTGTGAAGCGTTAGCCCCTCCTCTTTACTGCAGGCAGAAGAGATGCCATGCACCTCTTTAGCACTCCTTGGTGTGCTTTCTATTGTATAGAGAGTTTCTTTTCCTATTCCTCCTGCTTCAGCCACAGAAAAGAGCTACGGGAGACAAAACAAGCCCACATTAGAATTCACAGTAACAAAGCTCCATATTAACAGTACATATCCACAGTGATTTTAATAGCACAGCTTCAGAATCTTACAATGCTGGACCTGACAGTAATTTCTTTATTAGCTACATATATAAATTATACCTGGATTTTCTTTTTTTTTTTTTAAGAATAAAAAAGGTACCGTGCATTCTATCTTTCAAAGTCAGAATCACAAGGGAAAAGATGATAACCATTTGAAAGCTGCATAGATTATACAAATAGATCGTTTTCACGTAACATGAAGTGGTGAGTCATTGAAAAATAAGACTTCTTCTAAACTGTTCAAATGATTGTCACTATCAAGTGTACCAACAGAAATTGCCTTCAAAGCCCTTGGAAACTGGTACATCCTCCATCATTTCACTCCCATTCTCATACACAGAGTTTCTCAGAAACATTTAATGCTCAGGAAACTCGTGGTGCTTTTTCTGTTTTGTTTAGGGGTTGTAAGCCATTACAGTCTGTTTTTTCTTTGCTTTTTCCTCTCTGGTGTGCTGCAAACGCTCCTCTGTTTGCCACAGTGGGCAGTCCCTCCCCCTTTTTATGCCACATCACTTTCAGGCACAACACCCAGATTTTGTCCTTTTGGCCGGTTTGTAGTCAGTAATGTCTACAGTCTGCGATGGCCCCTCAGCTTTCTGCCGTACGATTATTGGTACGACCATGTCAAACACAGTTTCAAAGAGGTAGTCCACCTTATATCCTGTTTTCGCACTGGTCTCAAAGCACATTTTCTCAGCTGCTGGAACATCCTTCTCATCCAGCATTTTGTATTTCAGTATCTTCTTGTAGAGCGCAATCGCATCCTCCACGCGGACTTGTTTCCGCACCTTTGAGCTGCAGCCGGCAACGGCCTTCTCAGGTCTGTTTTCATCAGGTGGCGAAGCACAGTCATCGCTGAGGTCCACTTTATTCCCAACGATAGCAAAGATGCAGTCAGCACTGGCGCTGTCTGTCAGTGCCAGGAACCTGTCCTCCAGCTCCGCCAGGCTCTGCAGGCTGTTCACGTCATACGTCAGGATGACGGCGGCTGCTCCTCTGCAGTACATCGATCCCAAGCCATGAAACTGTTCCCGGCCTGAAAAAGGTTTAAATGTTAGTGTGCAGGAAGCTGCATTACTAACAGTGTTTAAAAGTTTCCGAAAATTCAAGCCAATTCCACATGATGGTAAGGTTTTTTTTTTTCCTTAAGAGCGTAACAGTGCCACAGAGCAGCTCAGCAAAATGCACGCTGATTCAGGGCACAGAATCTGTAAAGATGAGCAACCATGCAAGAGTGGAAAAGCAAATACAATTGCAAGAAGAAAAAAAAAACAAAACAAAATTGAACCATTAGTTTATGCCCCATGAATGACCACCCTGCTCACAACCACATATGCCCCATTTCACCTATCCAGTCATTTACAAACACAAAATAAGTTCTATTGCGCTGAATTCCGCTAGAATTCATAACTAAACTTGATACATGCTTTCTAAGTACAGTCAGTTCAAAAAACTTGGATCAAAGTTAGCAATTCACTTCTCAGATTTTGAAAGTTGGTGGCAGCCTCGGCTGCAGCAATGATGAGATAGCAGAGTTCAGGCTCTTGCAGTGTTGTTTAATATCTCCATCAGTGACCCATATAAAGGGACAAAGCATGCTCAGCTCGTTTGCAGATGATACAAAACCAGGAGGCATGGCTGAATGGCAGCACAGCTTTCTGGTGTGTCAGCAAGACCTGGACACGGGGCCTCCATTTACAGGAAGTCTGGAAATTGTTTGGTTACTTTTTTTTTTTTTTTTTTCCTGCAGGAAGCTACTGATTACTGAGAGCAACAGCATCGCGAAATCACTGCAAGTGACTGCTGAATGGGAAAGGTAGAAATTCATGCTGAAAAACACAGGCCAGCATACATTAGGAAAACATAAAGAGGCATAAAGATGCTAAAGATGCTCAGAAATACAAAAACAGTTGTGTGAATAAAAACAGTGGTATCTTTCAGGCTGGTGAATGACTGAAAAAAAGAGTATAAATGGATGTCCGTAGATTCATGTGTAGTCTCCATTCCTTTCTCGTAGCATAAAAAAAAATGAGGATCTCCCATCAAAAAGCATGCACGCAGTTAAAATACTTTGAAATACTTCCTTACATGGTGAATAATAGGAAATAACTGTCATACGACATTTCAGCGGTCAAAAGTTCAATAAACGGCCTTCAGGAAAGCATTAGGCAAAGTTTATGGAGAACTGCATCTGGGCAATTTTGTGTAACTTCTGATTTGTTTTCCTCCAGCAAAAAGAAATTCTTTAATCAGAAAAGTGGAAACAAGAAAAGAGGGCAAAAAGGAAAAGAGATGCTCTTGCTTGGTAAGGGCGAGGAAGACAGGGGTGTAGCAGAGATCACTGCTCCCACTTTTCACTCTAATCCCATGTCCACATTTGTGCATAGTGTGCAGTTGCACTACAGCTGTCTTTAGAAGCCTGCCATTTTTTAGCAGAAGTTTGTGCCATGACCTATTTTCCCCAAAATCCCGATTATACTGTGGTCTGGAAGCCACAATGGAACATATATTCTCCCTATTCTCCCACTTGAATTGCATAAGCTATAAAATCCAGCCCCCAAAATCATTTGCTGCAGCAACTGAACAGCAGAACAATCCTACTGCTTGTTTTATAGAATTTGTATGCTAATCTAATCTTGCACAGCATAATATAAACTATGACACAATTACACTTTAACTACAGACTGACTGTTTCTACAACTAACATATTGTTGAAAAGGAGGAAAAAAAGCAAAAGGAAGAATTTGCTTTGCATAAGGGATTAATTATATCAGAGGAATTATGGGCAGTCTTTCTCACTCACCCACACAACGCTATCTACATAAACACGAAGAAAAATGCATAACTCGCTTCTGCTGCAGTCTCCTTGTACACATCACTTGTAGCACTTAGGCTGGAACACCCCTATAGGCAGAATGTCCCCAGAACTGCCCAAAGCATTTAAATTACTGCCTTAGCTATTCCTCAAGGTGCCAGTCAATATAATAAAAGCCAAAATAGTATCAGACATTAACATGAAATATCTTAATGCACAGTCACAGAATTGTTGGAGTTAGAACGGACCTCTGGGAATCACGAAGTCCAAATCCCCTACTGAAGCAGTCAGCCACCCCTTTCCTAGGGTCAGTTATTTCTTGGTCTGGAACCAATGGGTCTCACTCCAACAAGGTGTCTTTTTACACAGTCACCTCGCCTAAGCAGTAAACACTGACTCCAAGAATTAAGCAATTTCACTACTGCAGAAAAAGAAAAGCAAAAGAAAAGAGAGGCAGAACTATATAAAATGGTTTACAGCCAGAGGAATTGCAGTACAACCAAATCAACCACAAAGGAATACAAGGGAAGATTTTAAAGCCAAGCAACTAAAATTAATTTCCATTTTTCATTTTCACATTTTGCCTTATTTATATCAGTTTAACAACCCCGATGGGCATATAATTATCCGCAGTGCCATTTGTATTTCAGAGGCTCTTGCAGCAATTACGTGTGGTAGAGGCATCACACCCCCAGAGCAGGGCAGCCGAGGAGCTCAAAATCCAGACTCAGTAACACAAAGTTCGTAAGGATCCTGCGGGAGAAAGGAGAGAAAAGCAGATCTTGAAAGAGGCAGGGCTGAGAAATGAGCAAGGCTCAATTTAAAGACTGCTTGAGCAAAGGTGGATGCCCAAGCTTGGTCAGCCAGCCTCCCACAGCACCCTGCCTGCTGTTCCTTGAGTGAGAGCCCAAGCAGTCTCTGGAGTGCTGCTGATGTTTGGGAGGGCAGAAGATATCCTCCAGACAGATCTGAACCCGTTTCTCACCTACTACCTCTTCAAAGGTTTAAACTGCACCTCCTAAAGCAATGCAACTTCCCACACATAGTTCCAAGAAATCCTCCACTGGAAGAACGAGTTCTAAATCTCTCAGTATTGAGCACAGAGAAGAATGCAAAGCAGCCTTTCCCTCTTGAGGGCATGAAACACCACAAATACTAAACAGCTAAAAAAAGGTCTTCCAGAAAGCACTGAAAAACAGTGATGATGTTATTCTGATGTCAAAGTCTGAAAGGAGTCTGAGTTCTGAAGTGGAAAGGTAGAAGCACACGAGTACTGTATTTAAAATTAACAAGAGTGCACAACTGTCACGACAGTTTCGGAGAGAGTCCATAGGACCAGATCTCTTCCAAGGCTTTTCACTGTTGTTTAAGCAGGATTATAATCCAAGTAGAAGTCAAGAGGAAATAACACAAACATACGGTATCTGCTACGCTTTCTCTTTTGATTTCTAATTCTTTTTTCAAGGAGGGTGTGAATCCAAGCACGTACAAAGTGAGACAGGAATTGTGCCCTAAGCAGATAGCCAAGATAGGAAAAAAAGAAGAAAAAAGAGAAAATATGATACCCACAAGACAGCTCAGAGAACAGCACCAGAAAGAAGTGAGGATTCAGCTGCAGTGAGAGGGAGGTCCAAAGGGTGAGGCTGATGCCACTGAGTTGCTTCAGCAGGACCATCCGTGTGATCACAAGTCTAGACAAAGAAGATCCTTCCCAAGAAACAAGTTTCCTTCTGTTTGCAGATAGAGCAATAAAGTTAGGACCCTTTACATGACATTAGGGGAAACTGAGATCTGTGTTTGTGCATGTACACCACGCTACGTGCAGACTATCAGAAAACAAGCAATAATGTCCTTGAAGGTTTCAGGAAAATTCCCCTACCCACAAATGACCTGGACTGCAGAGTTCTAATACTGATGAAGTCCTTTACTTCTTGTTCAATACTGAAATTTATTCCTTCTAGGCAGCTTTATCATCTCTCCCTTAAAGTTAGGATCCTTATTAAGATGAACTGGACTGTGCTTGTGGTTACCTGGGGATAAAAGTAAAGCTCTCCATCACAAAGGATTAACATGGAGGACATAAGTAGGAATTAGTGGAAACAAATAAGTCTGAAAACACCAGATAGCTCAATTTTTACATACCCAGAAGCTGTCTGAATACATGACTTCCAAATCCATTCGAAATGCCAACATTTGGGTTTGCTCCCAGACAAAATTCCCTACAGAATAAAAGTCTTTGGGGAAGAAAAAAACAAAGCAGAACAAAAACATGATGCCACTGAACACTGAGTAACCAGAACATTCATTTAAGCTCCGCCTTTAGCTAGCAGAATACATTCACAGTGTTATATTATAGAACATAATTGTGTACGTGGAAGCTTCAGAACACAACAGACCTCAAGCTCTACTGAAAATCAAGACACATTTATTTTGTTAGTTCTCATTGCTCAGAAATTAATTAATGTTTGAGGTGTGAACTGCGTCCTACTTCAGGAGCTACTATTTAAGTTATTAAGTGATGGATATCTTGGCCAAAAAAGAACATAATTTAAACATTGGAAAGTACAGATCTTAATACCCAAAGGGTTTCACTTTCATCTTGTAAAGTAGAAAGAGTTACGCAGGGAAGAAGAAAATAACAGCTGCGTTGGTTATGTGCACAAAGAACAAAGGAAAATAATTCAATAATTCTGAAGAAAACCCACCGAAACCAAACAGCCAAGGAAGAGATCTCAACGTAGTATATGACTGGGAAAAGCCTACTGCATCTCCAAACGTAACTTATTCTAATTGCTAAGTCAAGTATCTGTCTCATATTAAAGAAAGACTTAAAAGGGCAAAAAGAGTCACCCTCATCCCATAAATCTCCATATGGACTGGACACAATGATCCTTATTGGACCCTTCCAACCTGAGATATTCTATGATTTTATGCTCCATGTTTTTGTCTTAAAGGACAAACATGTCAAATTCTGATGGAGTCTGAGGTTCCAAATATCCTGCAAACATCCCCACTCTATAAAAACAAATCATTTTAGGCCTGTAAAGCTATCTTTCTGCACAGAGCCATTGACTGCTGTGTGAATTCTAAAATGCACCTTTCTAGTTTGCAACCACCAGAAAAAAAAAACATCTTCACTTTCTGCAAGAGAGTCACTGCCCAGGCACCATTATTGGTGTCTGGCCTTTACTAAGCTCTTTTCACACTTTAATGACATAGAG